CACATACACACATCCATATACACAAATAAATACACATATATAAGCACATACATATTCACACACAAGCCACACATATACACACACACAGACATACACATATATACACACAAACACAAACATACATATACACATAGGCATACACACATACACAAAAACACATATACCCACACAAATACACACATATATACAAACAAACATACATGCATACACACATACACACATACGCATACATATACAAACATACATGAATTACACATGTAAACACACTAACACACAAACACATACATGCACACATAAGCATATACATACACAAACACACACACACACATTTATACACACAAACTCACATACACACACAAACACACACATATATATCCACATACAGGCACTTGCACACACACACAAACACACATATACACACATACACACATACATATACAAACACCCTCACATATACACACACATATATATCCACACACAGGCACTTGCACACATACACAAACACACATATACACATACATATACAAACACCCTCACATATACACACACATGAACTACACATATACACACTCTAACACATAAACTCACATACATTCACACACATATACACTCAGAAACACAGGCACATGCACACATACACAAACACACACATTTACACACAAGAACTACACACATACACAAACACAAAACACATAATATATACATGCAGATATATACATACATACACATGTACATATACATACAAAGACGTAGACATATATACATACAGGCATGCACACATGCACAAACACACATATACACACAAACACACATACATATCCAAACACACGAACTACACATATACACACACTAACACACAAACTCACATACATTCACACACATATATACTCAGAAACACACACAGGCACACGCACACATACACAAACACACACATTTACACACAAGAACTACGCATATTCATACACAAACACAAAATGCATACACATAGATACATGCAAATATACATACACAGACACATATACATATACACATACAAAGACATACACTTATATGCACACAGGCATACACAAACATACACACATAGACACATAAACACACACACAATGAGGAAGAATGCAGTGTTGAGAAGACTGGCTTACGCTGTGTAAGAATTGAGACAATAAGAGGAGCGCAGAAACTGGCTTGAAACAAGGCTGTCTTGCTGTTTCAAGAGCATGGTTTTGTCTTCTTTGATTTTCTCGGTCTCCTTTCTGGTAGGTTTAAAGAATATCAAGACTTGTTCCCACAGCGCCCTGTGGAGGTGGAAGTTGAAGCACATTCTGCCCCGCAAAGGAAGCCCTCAAAGGCAGCAGCTCACCTACAGGAATCCCAGGTCAGTGAGGAGGAAGAGAAAAGGGCGGGACAGACAGGAAAGCCATTGTCCAGGCGCTGCCTATGAAAGATTATCCCTATTGACATTTGAAACACCACTGGAAGAATTACTCTTGGGGGTGGGGGTCATGTCGTAAGCCCTGTTTTATAAGAGGATAGTCTGAGGCTCAGAAAAAATAATACCGGGAAATCCCTTTCTGATCTACCTCTGTCACCAACTGACAGGCACACGGGTTAGATACACGGAAATGAAATTGTCAGGGTTTTTTTTTGTTTGTTTTTTGTGGTTTTTTTTTTTCCACTGCCCATGTTTATTTGGAGGATGTGGATTGGTCATCGGGCCAAATGCTTTTCTAATCTTTCTGCACAAAGATTAGTTTGATTTCTATATCCAGTCACTGGAAACATAAGTCTCCCCTTGCATAGGCCTGGAATAAGTGTCCCTCAGGCCGGCAAACCCCTGAAAGACAATATCAGTGATTGGCCCTGAAAACACCCATGTCCTTCTCCCATACATGATTACCCTCTTACTCTTTTGTCTCATGGGAAGAGAGAAAGGGGGAAGAGATGGGAACGGTACTCGGGGAAGTCTTGTATGGTTTGGAAAAGCACACATGCTCCTTTAAGCTTGGACAGAAAGATTGAGCCCAATTCTATCAGACACCAAAGGTGAAATCAAGCCAGAGCTGGAAATTAGATTTACCCCCAATACTGTAGGCCCGAGAACATGGTACTCTTTTTCCCTTCTCCACTCGTCCGTTCATGAGCCAAATCTCCAGGGCACCATGAGTGATGGGATGCTCGAAAATTATATGCAGAACCGGAGAGCTTTGTTTGAATTTCAGTTTTTTCTGTCACTATGCTACACAAACACACACATACACACACACACACACACACACACACACACACACACACACACACACACCAGCCAGAAGGCTGTGGGGTTTTTTTGTTTTGTTTTGTTTTTTGTCTTACAAAGACTCAGATCAGGCTGGAGAGATGGCTCAGCGGTTAAGAGCATTGCCTCCTCTTCCAGCAGTCCTGAGTTCAATTCCTGCAACCACATGGTTGTTGGCTCACAACCACCTGTAATGAGGTCTGGTGCCCTCTTCTGGCCTGCAGACACACACACAGACAGAATATTGAATACATAACAAATAAATAAATAAATATTAAAAAAAAACAAAGACTCAGATCAAGTAAATTAACCCAAATCACACAATTACAGAGAAGTTAGGCTCTACTCTAAAAGTTTCTAGCCCCCCAAACCCAGTGCAGATTTAATACTTCTCCACCAGCTCCCTAAAGCCACATTGCTCCACACTGGCCTTGCTCTTCTGTCTCCAAGAACTGGTGTATAGGAGTGAGCACTCTCATCAATAAGATGCTTTTAGTGGGAAGTACGCTTGAACGCATTGGCACAGGGAACCACTTCCTAAATAGAACCCCAGTAACACAGACACTCAGAGAAACAATTAATAAATAGAACCTCCCGAAACTGAAAAGTTTCTGTGAAGCAAAGGACACCTTTCAACAAGACAAAATGGCAGCCTACAGAATGAGAAAATGTCTTCACTAACCCCACATCGGACAGGGCTGATCTCCAAAATATACAAAGAACTCAAGAAATGGGTCATCAAAAGAACAAATAATCGATGTCTCACATTTTCTAGAGGCAAATGAACTGGACAACAGTCTCCCTGTGTTTATTAAAGGCTTGCAGAAGAAGAATACATTTGCTTGTGTGGGGGAGGGGACAGGAGTGGGGGAGTGAACATGTGTAAACTTTTCTTAAGAGTTAGAAATTGGTCCGCTCATCTCTCTGTTTCTTTAACACTCTAAGATCTCCTGGGCTGTCATTTCCTCCTGTGAGCGGAAACTGGTTTCGGTCCTCTGTTCCTTCCCATTTTGAGTGCTGGCCCTCGCTGCTGTGTGTGCTAATGCGTTCAAGCCAAAGCTCAGACTGATTGGAGCTACAGCTCTTCTACTCCCCAACTTTGTGATCGGAGGCAGGCTGACCTGAGTTTCCTCACCCTTGAAGTGGGAGCCCAAACAATATTCCTTTGTGGAAGCAAGGACTCTGAGTGTAGTCGATAGCAGGTTTGTGGCACACAGTAGGTTTTTAGCCAATTAGCCACGCTAATGGACACCCTTTCACTTCTCCAGAGGAAAGGATGGTTGAAAATGATCAGCTTCATCAAGAGTTTTTGCAATTACCGCAGAGTCATGAAAAATCCCAAGAAATGCCAACAGTTAATAGATTTCATTCACCTGGAAATGTTCAACACCAAGGAGAGTGAGTAGTCACCCCCTGCCCTCATGGTCACCCCCTGTCCTCACGGTCACCCTCCACCATCATGGCCACCCTGTCCTCAAGGTCACCCCCTGCCATCATGGTCACCCTCCACCATCATGGTCACCCCTGCCCTCATGGTCACCCCTATCATCATGGTCACCTCCTGCCATCAAGGTCAGCCCATATGAGAATTCAAGCTCTGTGTCAGGCCTGCATGAGCTGCAGGGAACAAGAACTCCAGAACCTGAGTGGCCAGCCCTGCCCAGGCCTGCCTGGACAATGGTACTTCTCAGAGAGCCAGCAAGTGTGGGAAATAACGAAGGCGCTTAGAAAGCTCACATTTTAAATATATAGTATTTTTTATCAATTCTCTGGGAATTTTATACATGTGTATATTTTGAGCATTAACCTCTTGCTAATTCCACTCAGATTCACTCCCTTCCTCCCCACCCCAACTTACAACCCACTGGATCCAATTGGTCCTGCTCATATATTTGAGCTGCTGTCCGTCCACTGTCGCATGGCCGTCTTGCCAGAGAGGACTCACTTTTCATAAGATGAGTTCCGTATGTTGTTTTATGTGGTCTTTTAAAACGTCTTTTAAGTTTTCCTGCCTAAATAATTAATGCATGCTATTAATAACGAGACAAAAAATTACAAGGACATGTAGGACACAAGGAAAGTCTTTAGAGATAACATTGCCAATGCTTTGAAGCCTACATTCTGAGTACACACACACAACACACACACACACACACACACACACACACATCCAAACTTTCCATTTATAACATGCCTTTCTTCTTTAGTATATTTATATTGAACATCGCTTTCTGTCAGTACACCTCTATCTGCCCAGCTTTTGAGTGGCATAAAGTGTCCATTGTACAGATCTATTCAACTGCTTCATTCACTAATCTCTTCATTCATGACCACTGCTAAGAATGCTTTATGGGGTGTCCTCCACCAGGTGCTGAGACGTCAGTAGTAAATATCGCGTCTACCACTTTTACTTGAGGGCATTAAAAAGGTGGCCATGTACCTCCGTTTCCTCCTCTGTGGAAGGGGAATAGCTGTCCTTACCTGACGGAGCTCTTGTGATGCTTAGATGAGATGATGACTTAGGCATCCTTGAAGTAGACCTAGCAGTACTTAGCAACAGAAGAGCTAGCCAGTCTGCTGTCACTATTACGTAAGTATGATTAAGTGACAGCAATAATGGTTGTAGACGGACTCTAGTTAGTACTGGCAATGGTCAGGGAAGAACTCTTCCAAAAACACGACGTTGTGTTGAGTTTTCAGGAATGAACAGATTAGGCAGGTGCAGTGTGGCGGAGCTGTGTGCGGGGGAGTATGTGCAGAACTCTAAAACAGGAAAGAGGGCGGTACAACCTCGAGACTTCAGTCAGGCTGCTTGGACTAGAGATGAGATGGGGGAGAGAACCTGAGATGACATGGAAGAAACTGGCAGTGACAGATCGTGTCTCTGTGGAATTTCTGAGCTAGTCTAACACTCGCGTCAATGCACAGTGTTTCTATGGAAACACCTTAGAGAACCATCACACTAAGGTATGCTCCTGCTAAGACTAGAAGTCTGAGTGTGAATCTTCATATTCTCACCAGCATAGATTATGGTGTGATATAGATTATATTTTTAAAACTCGAACCCTAACTCTCCTTAGAGCACCCACCTTGGTGCTCTCTGCCTGTGGCACCACGGCCTGAGTTGCTTAGAGTTCCTGCCATGCTGTGGTCTGTCTCTACTCACTCAAGGGTATCTCCTAATACATGTCTAGACCCCCAGCAGTCTATCTCGGTGGCTCCCGAAACCCTGCATTTAAGATCTTTCCTTCTCTGCTTTAGCGGTCTATTTTCTTTTCCTTTAACAAACTTTTTTCAGTTATAATGTTTTTTGTTTTTCAAATTCCCTCCTAGATGACAAACCTTGATTCCTCCCTGATAAACCCTGAGTAGCTATCGATCAGAACTGTTTGGTTTAATCTTAAGAAAAGCTGCTCCACCAATGCAAAGATCGAACCAGATTAGACTGAATTAAAATGCCCATGTTTAATAAATTCAGCTCTCTCAGGTGGACCGCGGCAGCATGGCGGGAAGAGGGGCCCATGAAAACCCAAAACCATGTGCATTACTTTTTTCAGGCAGGAGCCTAAATACTCTGTGGGAGAGGTCAGTGCTTGGCAGGCTGAGAGTTAGAGTCCAAGCACTTGGCAGACTGGGAATTGGAGTCCAATTCAATATTACATTCCAGACTCTTTAGATATAGGAATGTTAGAGGGCTAGAATCTCACTTTTGAGCAAACAAGAACTACACTCCCATTTAAAAAAATCGAGTCTGCTTGCGCAATTACTGCCTCTGCAGAAAGTCTTGTGAATTAGCATGGTCACAGTCATGATTGTTTCTATTAGGCAAGTGCCCTGAAAATAGCCTTCAACACTCAATCGCTCTTGCAATTAATTACTTTATTAATTATCTTTTGATATAAGTGTAGTCAAACACCCAAACAGGTGATTTTATTCAGCAGTCATTCAAGTGTAACAGGCTGTACCCAGGTGTAGGGCATGACACTAAGAACAGCTATAAAACAGGTGTCCACAGAGGTCACACCCAGGGTGAAGGTTTAGGACCTGAGAGCACGTGATCAAACCAGATACTAATTCCTTGTTATTTCCCTGCTAGATTTCTCTGCATCACCCACTATTACATCAGCACGTCACACCCCAATATCCCCTGGTTCTCGGAGCACAGATCAAGAGAATGGGGAAATTTTCCTTATCAAACGCCGGATATTTGGCCACAGAATTATCACTATCAACTTTGCTGCTAATGATCTATATTTCTTTTCTGAAATGGAGAAGTAAGTTCCCATCTTTCTTCTCAAGGCTTTGACATTTAAAACTTCCCAGCAGGTGCTGGGGAGATGCCTCTGAGCATGAGGACCAGTAGGGTGGGGTGAGGGGAAGCGAGGCACAGCAGGGCAGATCTAGTACTGAGAAAACAGAGGCCAGAGGTTCTATGGGGCTTGCTGGATACTTAGCCTAGTCCGAGGAGTGCTCCAGACTCAGTGAGAGACTACATCAAAAACTAAGGCCGAGTAATAGAGGAAGTCATGAGACATTGATCTCTCCCCCCCCCCCCCAGTTCGCGCTCTCTCTCTCTCTCTCTCTCTCACACACACACACACACACACACCTCCCAGCAAAAGTTGGCTTGCCATATCAGAGCCACAGTGATTGACATGTGAGAAGCACAGAGATTTAGTTCTGCCAGAGAAGATGGTCCTGAAAATTTCTGGGGCGTCTGTCTCTCTATCAGTTTCTACCCTCCTTTGGGCCCTAAAGATCTCTCTCTTCAATGTCCTGGAGATCCCAAGGTTTTAATGCACTTACTTATTGACAGTAAATGGATTTTTCCTATAATTTATAAATATCAAAGAAATTGTATCATGTTGCTCATGTAGCACCCATGGACCAAGAGTTCTTCACTTAAAACCAGGGACTGTTATAAGACTATGTGCGTGTATATGTGTGCACATGCGTGTGTGTGTGCATGCACCTTTAAGGAGTTATCTTTAAGTCAGATGTGCTAATACATACTCACTTACTTGCCAAATTTCAAATTTAAAGTCCATATATTTTTCTTGTATAATCTAAATTATGCTCCAAAGACTGTCAACCAACCCTCATTTCAGTTTTGAAAACGTGGAACGAGGACTGGACAGACGGCTCAGACTTTAATGGCCAGGCTTACAGCCAAAAATATGACAGTGGAACAAAGATGTAAAGATCACTCCAAAACAGCCCAGTATTTCTGGGTTTTGTTTGTTTGCTTGTTCATGTCTATATTTTTTAGGGCAGGATCTCACCCAGTTCACATCCATGCAAGGCAAGAGCTAAAGAACTGGGTTGTGTCCCTCAACAAATCCTTCCACGTTTCAAATTAACTTTCTCAGGGATTTAAATTCCCTTTTTTTAAAATTTACTTGCTTTTGTTTCAACACTTCAGAGAATCTCCACTCTGCCCTTCTCTCTCTCCCCTCCTCTCTTTCTCTGACTGGTCTGACTTGGTAGCCCAGGCTGACCTGAACACAAAACTCTCCTGTTTCCCGAGGTTGCAATGACAGGCATGCGTCAGCATGCCCTGCTCTGGCTTATTTTCACATAAACAATAAACATTTTTCTTTATAGATTCTGCTCTGTCATATGAATGAGTTAAAACTTAGAGTAAAAAGTACAACCAAGGGAAATATTTGGAAAGGAAATCAGTAACTTCTGGAAAACATCTCCACCCAGGGGCAGTGTAAGAGTGAGCTCAAGGAAGCACCCCGGCCTATGCTCGCCATGCCAGGGCTGCCAGTTAGTGTGACTCTCAGAAGCGCAGAATGCCCAGGATTCACACATCAGGGGAGTTCGACCCATTGCGCTCCATGGAGGGACTCAGTTCATCTCTGAATACATTCACTGACTGTCTCTTTCTTATTGAGCCCAGGCTCTGTGATCATAGACATGTATATCTATCAGCCCACAGAATCAGGACTCATGCAGCATGCACATAGAAGGTGGGGAAGTCTCTCGTGATGACAGGTGCTCAGTAGACTTGGGCACAGGGAACACAGCTAAGCGAAGGTGAGTCCTCAGGCAGAGTGTCTTGGTCCTGGAGCTGACCTAGACCAGCCTTAGCAGGGTTCCAAACAGGGTCCCCAGGGAGAGGACCAGCGAGGAAAGAGAAATAAAGAGATAGTGAGGGGAGCTAGGCTCAGGCGGACTGCAAAGGCTGACCCAAGCCAGCAAGTGTGTTAATGGCATAGCTCTTCTTTATACCCCTCAAATGGGGAAGCAAAAATCTAGTTGGTAAAGATCATTCCTTAGACAGCAGAATTGCAGGGAGCTCAGAATATCTCAAGTTCCCCTTTAGTAAGCTGCATTCTGAGGTAGCAAACAAAACATTTCACATCTCAGTGTCTGGAACATTTGACTACATACATACAAGGGAAGTGTCAAGCAGTTCCTGGACTATGTCCTCCCACCGCAGAGGCCCTGGCCCCAGTCCATAGCCGGCGTTGTCTCGCAGGACTCTGGGTAAGTGAGGAGCAAAATGTTCACTCTCGTCGTTAGGTTCTCCTGACTGTCTCCAGCCCAAGCTAGTCCCCAACATGGAGCCAAGAGACGGCTGAACTTTGAAGGATGAGTGGGGATGAAAGAGCTAACAAGGCTGTTAAGGGAAGCCATGGGAAATGAGGCGAGAGTAGCCAGTACACAGCCACTTCTGCAGCTGCTCCTACTGTCTTCCCCCCCCACCCCCCATCCTCTCTGCTTCTCTTCTTTGTAAAGCAGTGGTTCTCACCCTGTAGGTCGCGACCCCACAGCGGTTGCCTATCAGATATTTACATTGTGATTCATAAAGGTAACAAAATTACAGTTATGAAGTAACAACAAAATATAGTTTTATGGCTGGGGTCAGCACAACATGAGGAACTGAATTAAAGGGTCAGAGTAATAGGAAGGTTGGGAACGTCTGGTGTAGCACAACCAGAAATAACTACAGAAATAAAAAGCCTGAAACCAACTGTTACTCCTCTTCTGGGAAGGCTTTGGTAGCCCCCCATCACCACTGAAGTGCAGTCTAAGCCATTGCCTAAGGCGCCCCCATGAGGAGAATCCACCTGCGGCTCAGGGTTGGCCTCCAGCCTGTCCAGATGGGCAAACAGCAGGAGAGCCCTGAAGTTCTTGAATTAGTCATAGGTGAGACATTCTTTCAGACTAGGAGAAGTGAAGAACATGAAGTGAAGAAGGGGGTGAGGGTGGGGATTGTGGTGAAGAAATGTACTATACAAAGCACTTGGTCCATGACCCGACACGTGACCTGTGCTCAGTTTTTGCTAACGGAAGTATTGAGATTGAGTGAATGACACCCCAATCTGGCTCAGAAACAGTCCTGCCCTTTTCTTGCCAGAAATAGGTTGGAGCCAGGCACCCTGTCCTCCACCTGCTTTTATCGTCTCTTGTTGATTTCTCCCATATGCCTCTCTTGTAGATTTAATGACCTGGTGAGTTCAGCTCACATGCTGCAGATCAATAGAGCATACAATGAGAATGACATCATCCTGATGCGGTCTAAACTTAACATTATTCTAAAGCTTTTCCTGATTTCTGATGTCCCTCCAAAGCTGAGGGTAAGGTCTCTCCAGCTCCACTGTGACCCTTTCCCCCATAAAAACCCTAAGCCTGAATTGGTGGGTACCTCATAAGTCCTGGGTCAACAAGATGCCCGCCTAACAAATCCACAGGACACTCTGCCTTCTGAAGAGGCGGTGTTTCAAGGGACATTAGGGGTCAAGAGAAGTTCTTTTCCTTTCCTAGAGCCCCTAACGATGACAAGTTCCCATCCTGTGGGTAGGTCAACATCTCTGAGTCTCAGAAGGATATCATCTTGGCTGCCATTACTGAAGGCCACCTAGACCGGACCATCTTCCATGGGGCTATCATGTCTGTCTTCCCTGTCATCATGTACTTCTGGAAAAGGTACTTAAGTTCTCTTACCTGGTGGGTTTTCTGTCTTCCTGTGTTCCACAGTTTCCCGTTCTATGAGGACCTAAGATGGCTGCTCTTACCCTACCCTCTACACTCCATCCTTCACTGAGCAGACAGAAGAGATCAAGGCCAGAATGCTGGCCCCACGCCTCTCCTTTTCTTGTGCTTTCTTGGATCAGGGTCATGTGATGTGCCCAGACTTTCCCACTAAGCGTGAGATAGACCACAGCTCCTAAGGAACAGAGTCTGTCAAGGCAGGAACTGTTTATATTAAAGAACCTCACGGAGGAAGCAGGCCAGAGACGTTTACCATTCTATTCAATTCTCATAATCACCTCAGAGGCACAGTTGCTTGGAAAAAAGTCAGATATTCAGTTTTCGGTCACCGTTCTCCCAAAATTCAGACAAATCTATCATGCAACTCAGAATGAAAACCCGACAAGGAGACTACAAGGGCCAAAATTCAAAACTTAGGTGAACAAAAATACCTACAGACCCAATACAACCTGTGCCCCTGGTTCATAACCTGTCCTGCCCAGAACTGTGCTCAGAATCTGACCTGAGATGTCTCAGCTGACTGTCAGCTCTGGCTTCCATCAGAGCCCTCTTACGGTTCCCAAGAGGTGTGCAGCCCCAATGACGCCATAGCTGGCCAAAATTTTCCCTAGTGAAGCTGTCTTAGTTAGGGTTTCTATTGTGGTGAAGAGAACCCATGACGTTGGAAACTTTTATAAAGAAAAACATGTAATTGGGGCTTGCTTACAGCTCAGAGGTCTAGTCCATTATCGTCACAATAGGAAGCATGGTGGCGTGCAGGCAGATGTGGTGTGGAAGAGGTAGCTGAGATTTCTACATCCAGATTGACAGGCTGCAGGAAGAGAGGGTGACACTGGGCCTGGCTTGAGCATCTGAAACCTTAAAGCCTACCCCTGGGACACACGTCCTCTTAAAAGGCCACACCTACTCCAACAAGGCCACGCCTCCAATAATGCCACTCCCTATGAGTTCATGGGGGCCATTTTTATTCAAAACATCACAGAAGCCTAATGGGGGTGCCTATATCATATTGTGACCCTGGCTAAAAGGGTTTCCTTAAAAAAAAATAACAAAGCTGTGGCTTTTGGGGCTGGAAAGATGGCTCTATAGTTAAGAGCTTTCGTAGAAGACCTGAAATCAATTCCACATCAGGAAGCTTACAACCACCTAGAACCTCTATAACTCTAGTTACAAGGGATATGGCTCCCTTTTCTGTCCCCTCTGTGAGCATTGTATGCATGTAGTGTACATGCAGGCAAATACACACACACACACACACACACACACACACTCACACAAATAAAAGTACATTTTTAAAACGTGCCCTTCATTAAAACAAAGGTATAGTTTTCTGAGATTGTGTCTCCTAGCAACATCAGAAGCTATAAAGAGGAACCAACATGACTGCTCAGACCTGAGCTGAACAAAGAGGACACCGACACACATGCTAACGTGGCCAGGGGAGGTCCCTACGGCCTCAGCCCTCCACAGAGAACTACAGGCAACTAAGAAATACTGAAAGTGGGAGAAACGGTCTTCCCCAGGGAAGAGAACACCAAATGGTCAGCCCTGAAAATATACACACAAGTAGTATTATACGGGATGGACAGGTTATAGTTAACAACATATGTGTATATACATATATGCATGTAAACACAATTAATGAAAGAGAGGCTGTGAATTTAGAACAGAGCAAAGAGGGACACGGTGGAGGCTTTGGAGGGAAGAAATGGCAGGGGGAAATGATGTAATTGTATTATCTCACAAAATAAATATTAAAAATCAAATAGGGACTGGAGAGATGGATCAGTGGTTAAGAACACTGGCTGCTCTTCCAGAGGACCTGGGTTCAGTTCTCAGCACCCACATGTAGTTTACAACTGTTTGCTGATCCAGTTCCAGAAGATCTGCTGCCTTCTATTGGCCTTCATAAGTATTGCATGCACATGGTGCACAGACACACATTGCAGGCAAAATACCCCTGCACATAAAATAAAAATAAAGTATTTAATAAATAAATACCGGTATAAAGTTGCTTACCAGTCACTCACTTTTATTGTCCAATCCCTGACAAGTTATTTTATTCAAAATTTAAAATCTTGGTTTAAGATGAGGAATGAACCCTTTTAAATACCACTTGTTATTCCAAACTCATTTCTACTTTTCCTATCCAGGGTTTCATAGGAATTTATCTTGAGGCTTGTTGAAGGATCAGAAACTTCTAGAAGTTATGTGTGCCTCCTTGTTTAACTTGGTGCTCAGCTTCCCTGTCCCCACTATGTCCTTAAGAAGTTTAGATTTACTTTGTGGCATTTCTGAAGTCGACTCTTCTCTGCTCATAAACTTACTGATATTTGCAGTGGGTGAACTGTGACGGTGATGAACACTCCATGTCACAAGAAGACAGTGAGGGACAAAGCACTGGGGTCCGTGTTTCACACATGAGGAAACAGGTTCAGAGTTGCTAAGGGACTAGCTGAGAATCACCTAGGAAGTCTTAAAGCAGGATGAGAGTCTCCTGTCCCCTTCCTTCCATAAACAATGCATCTTTGCATGTTAGAGCAAAGTAACTGTAATAACATGGTCAGATCCTTGGGGAGCAGGGAGATGGGAGCCAGCAAGACCCACACTCCTGCCCATCTCAAGCAAAAGAAGTGCAAGTGCAGACCATTAAACCTAGTCTCAGCAACTGAGGAGTCCTGGGAGGAAGGGGTCAAAGCATAGGGAAGCCACGGTGAGTACAGGATTCTGAGGAGCCAGTTATCTTCTGGGGAATGGCCTACAGGAATCAGGGAAGGAATGAGGCTCTCTGGGAAAGGAAGTGTGGAGACCCCACTGGGTCCCCGGATGATTTAGTAAGGGATTAGACAGAGGCTGTGTAGCCTGACGCTCAGGTGAGCACAGCTGACTGCAACCCGGGCTTGGGCATAGTGGCCCCTCCACAGACTGCATCCACTATGGTTCCAAAAGAAAGTCACCCACACAGTGTGCAGATCAGTACTTCACTGGAGTGAGGCCTGGACAAAAAATGCCCTCAGTAGGCAGCAATCCCAACGCAGCATATTCTCTCTCTCTCTCTCTCTCTCTCTCTCTCTCTCTCTCTTTCTCTCTCCTCTCTCTCCTCTCTCTCTCTCTCCTCTCCCTCTCTCTCTTTCTCTCTCTCTCCTCTCTCTCTCTCCCTTTCTCTCTCCTCTCTCTCTCTCCTCTCTCTCTTTCTCTCTCCTCTCTCTCCTCTCTCTCTCTCTCCTCTCTCTTTCTCTCTCCTCTCTCTCCTCTCTCTCTCTCTCTCTCTCTTTCTCTCTCTCTTTCCCCCACCCCCACAGTTTGGTTTCACCCAAGCGGCCCTTATTTGTTCCAGCCATTCTGTGTGACCGGAAGTCGTTCTTCTCACAGGTTTTGCAACTGGAAGGCAACACGCTCTTATGAAGAATACATGGGGAAGAAGTTTAAGGATGGAAGATCCCCTCCCAAGCCTATATACAAGTACCCACCATGGAGTGGAGGTAAGTTTACCTCAGACCTATTGCCCTATTTCTCCAGTAAGAGACACGTGAGGAGGAAACACAGGTCTGACAGGGCCCAAAGGCGGTGAATAGTGCAGTGACCAGCACCTTAACTTGACCCTCTGGGAACTATCGCGTGTCATATCAGTGATGAGGGGCTCCCAGGATGCTGCTGAGCCCACCTGTTCCAGTCCACATGCTGAGCACCTGGCAATGGTGACCTCTTCGGCTCTCTTTGAGAGGCTCCCTTCCAACTGTCACCATGGAAACCTGAACATTCAAGAAGTATCTATTTTATAGAGTTAAGTGTGAAAACTAGATACATGGTCATAAATGTCCGTGTTTTCATGAATACACAGATACACACATATACATATAGTTTGATGAAAAGGTAGGGAAAACTAGAAGTTAACATAAAAGTATTGGTAGGATTGTCTCTGGGTGCTATGATGACTAATGGGATATATTTATTATTAATATATATTTATATAGCATGTGAGTGTATAGGCATGTGTGTGTATATATGTGTGTATATGTATATGTGTATATACTGCATATATATGGTAGTTTGAATGAGACTGGCCCTTCTAAGCTCATATTTTTGAGTACTTAGTCCCCATTTGGTGAAAATGTGTGGGAAGGACTAGGAGGTGTGGCCTTGTTGGAGGAGGTGTGTCACTTACAATTTCCAGTGTGCCTCTGCCTCATGGCAGTGGATCAAGATGTGAGCTCTCAGTTGATCTTTCGCCCTGTCATAGACTCTAACCCTCTGATGTCATAAGCCCAATTAAACACTTTTATAAGTTGCCTTGGTTATGGCATTTTATCACAGCAATATAAAAACAACACATGCACACACATGCATGCACACACACACACACACACCATTCTACCCATTAGCCCTATCATCCTCAGTATTTTCTTGGTCCTTCTGCTAGTTAGATTTTTCTTTTCAACTTGACACAGCCAGAGTGATCAGGGAAAATGAAACCTCAATTGAGAAAATGCTATTGGACCGTCTGTAGGCACGTCTGTAGGGAGTTTTCTCCACTAGTGATTGATTCTGAAGGGCCCACTACACCAGGGGCAGTGCCACCCCTGAGCAGGGGGTCCTGGGACCATGTGGCCTCTGCTCCAGTGCTGGCCTCCAGAGTTCTGTTGAGTTCCTGCCCTGACTCCCTTTCACGATGGACTGTAAGCTCTAAGATGAAATAGACCCTTTTCTCCCTAGGTCATTTTTGGTCATGGAAATTTTGGCCCTCAGAAATTTAGTGTTGGAGCTAAGTCTTGTGTAAAAAGAGAAAAGGAGACCTAGGGGAGACCCGGTCAGTACCAAGGTTAAGAGGGGAGTCCCTCATGGCAAGAACCTGCCCAGCCAAGCTGGCAACTCACAAAAGGAAAAGGCCTAAGGAACTTTCTGCCTCTAAAATGCCCTGACAAGAGGAAGCTTCTGCAAATGGGATTCAAAGGGGGCAGCAGTGAGTGAAGGCCCAGTTCATTAGACTTCCTCAGAGAAAATGAGTCATATGAGCTGAGGAGTCCGGAGTTCTGCTTCTGATTCTCAGCCCAGACCCTAGGTCACACACAACGGCTTGCCTACCAGTAATGCTCCATCCTTGGCTCTCCCCCGTACTTGAGAAGATTGGTTGCTTTGGTTTTTGGATGATGTTCTAGAGTTTGAATGGGTTTCCTTCTTTCTTCCCAGGCGACCACGCTGTCTTAAGGTTCACCTTGCTCAGAGGTGTTGAATGGTTTCGACCTCAGCAGACCCGGGAGGCAGTGGCAAATTCTGTCCAAAACTGTGAGTTGGAGCTTTACTGATTGCAAAAGTTCCCTGGCCGACAGGAGAGTGGTCCAGAGTCCAGACTAGCCCGTTCTCTTAATAACTGTAAAGAGCCTAAGGCCCTCCCATGGAAATGAATTGCTCAAGGCTGTACAGGCTAGGTGCGGTAGAGATGGGTGAGGAGGACTTCTCCAGCCCCCACCCCATGCTCTGTACACAGCTCTCAGCTGGATAGTCATTCATCCTCCTTGGTTCGTTTGCAGCTCCGTGAGGAAGGTGCATAAGCCTCCCTGTGCTCATTTCGGGCACCACACGCCATCTCTGCTAAGAGGCCACCACCTGCTTTCTCCTTACACGTGGTCTACCTGCTGGACAGCATCTCCATCCTATACCTTCTGCTCCCTGGAGGCTCCCACTATGAGCTTCTCATGACCGTAACAAGTCCCTGGTCCTTGCCTTCCTTGTCGGGAGCACGGTGTATGCTTTCTCTTTCTCATCTTCAGCCTGTAGGAGCCTACTTCACCGCCAAGCGGCATCACACCGCCTCTGTTTCCACACAGCCTCTCCCAGAAGGCCTTCCGTTCTTTCCCAGTTGTTAACTTTTGTTTGGGGGAGGAGGTTGGGTTGTCCCTTTTCTGCTTCTCTAAGGTGGGAAACGTCAGTACAAATGCGATTCTATTGTTCATTTTCAATCTGTTTTTATATCCATGGGTCCATGAAAAATCTCCTAAGATAAGAAAATAAGACTCCCACAAACCAGGTCTTCAGGACACCTCTACAGCATTAGATATCACCTTCCCTTGCCCAGCCCCTTCCCTGGAAGGTGAAAGCAGATAACTTTGCATCAAAAGTAGAAGCTAATGCAATGCACCCTCTGGATATTACTAATAAATTCCAAACCCAATAGTAACTTACCGATTTAAACCATTATGTGGCCATTATAATTCAATACCTAAATAACATAAAACTATGATCATAGCTATTTTATGAAAATATGTATTTATATAGAATGAAGATACCTTTAAATTTAGATCCTGATAGCTATCAAATAAGAAATCTTACTGGGTTAAAGAGATAGCTCAGTGATTAAGAATGTCTACTGCTCCTGCAGAGGACCTGAGTTCAGCTCCCAGCAGCCACAACTGCTATAACTCCAGCTGCAGAGGACCTGACACCTCTCTCTCTGAAGGCACCTGCTCTCACATGGCATACACACACAAACTCACACATAATTAAGAATAATAAAATAGGGCCAGGCATAGTAGTGCCTGTATTTAATCCCAGAATTCAGGAGGCAAAGGCAGGCAGATCTCTTAAGTTTGGTGTCAACGTGGTCTATATAGTGAGTTTTAGGTCATTCAGTGCTACATAGAGGGACACTGTCTCAAAAAGGAAAAGAGGAAGAATGAGGAGGAGGAAGAGAAGAATTCTTAAAACTTTAGATAAAATATATTCCTAATTATACTCATTCATAAACATTCATTTTTTTAAACTTCCAAGAATACCAGTATATTTTTTGAGTAATCAAAAAGTAAGAATGTCAGGGCCTATATTCACGCTGCAATGTTATTACAACAAGGTACCACTTGGTATTCAGGAAAGCAAAGCAAAGTATTTCCAAACCCCCATAATCTCATATAATTGCATGCTTAGTCACCAGAGAGTGGAACAGTTTGAAAAGGATTGGGGGTGTGTCCTTGTTGGAGGAAGTGTGTCAAAAGGGGTGGGATTTGAGGTTTCAAAAGTCCATGTCAGGCCTAGTGTCTTTCTTTTTGCCTGCCACCTGTGGATCAGGATGTAATGCTCTCAGTTACTTGTAAACAGAGACTGCTCTTTTGTTGCCAGCCACCCAGACCCAAATAATCACACAGAAACTATATTAATTGCAACACTGCTTAACCAATGACTTAGGTATATTCCTAACTAGCTCTTAATCTTAATTTAACCCATTTCTATTAATTTGTGTATTGCCAGTAGGCTGTGGCTTACCGGGGCCAGCATGTTACTCCTTTGGCGGTTACATGGTGTCTGTCTGACTCCACCTTTTTTCTCCCTGCATTCAGTTTTGTTTCCCCACCTACCTATATTCTGTCCTACCATAGGCCAAAGCAGCTTCTTTATTAACCAATGGTAATAAAACATATTCACAGCATACAGAGGGGAATCCATGCCTGTCTGTTTTCCACCATGATGATCATGGGCTGACTCTAAAACTGTGAATAAAGCCCCAATTAAATGCTGTCTTAGATAAGTTCCTCATGCATGGTTTCTCCTCAGAACAATAAAACAGCAACTAAGACACAAAATGGTTAGATAATGTTTATAATAATAATTAATTGTATCACTCCATGCTTTTAGTTTTTTCATATGACACACCTTTAATACATATTCTGCGAAATAAAAACCTTTTCTCAAATGACAAAAAAATCTAGTCTAGAAATAAGTACGAATAAGAATATTGTATCTGACCTATTCACAGCCGTTGATCCCCGGGAGAGTACAGGAGGAGCAGCAGGTGGGGAGGGGCCTTTCTCTTGGTGGAATGTAGCATGTGACATGCATTCTGATTTTCTCCTTTGCCTCTGTCTTAAGCTTCATCTAGCATCCTCACCCAGCCAATCCGATCTGCCATGCCTTCCTTGCAGTTGGGTCCTTCTGGCCTCAGGTAGGTGTGGGCTAGAAATCCTTGGCCAGAGATGCTCTGTCTACATGCACAATGGGTGACAGGACCAACTCCCAGAGTGCAGCTCCATGTTCTGACACTGCCCTGCATAGAGAACCAAGTGGAGCTCAGAGTAGCTGAGGTTCCAGCAGTCGGGGAGGGAGATCTCTGTGCGGGTCTTTGCCCACCTCCTGTTAGTACAAGCATTTCAACATATTGTGGGGATTGCCATTTCTAAAGGAAATTGCAATACACTAGCATCTGTGTAATTTATGCTCTTTTATTTTATTGGCTGTCTTCCCTCTCTCTCCCTCTCTCTCTTTCTTTCCCCCTCTCCCCATTCCCCCTCTGGTGTATGTGTACATTTTCATATCTATATGTACAGGTGCACTTGCACATTTGTGGTTGAGCATGCAGAGGCCAAAGGTCAACACTGGGTAGCTTCCACAGTCACTTTCCATCCTATTTTTTTTTTTTTGCAACAACATCTCCCACTGAACTTGGAATTCACCCATTCAGCTAAACTAGCTGGCGAGTGAGTCTTAAGGATCATTCTGTTTCTGCCTCCCCAGCCCTAGGATTGCAGGCACATGCTGTCACACCTGGCTTTTGACACGGATGCTCAGAATCCCCATGCAGGTCCTCATGCTTGGGTGTCGAGCATTTTGTCAATTGAACCATCAGCCTCACCCTGATCCCCCTTTTATCTCTTCTTTTAGACCCAAACTGTCTTACATTAAAAAGGAGAAAAAGTAATCAGTTCAGGCCCAGAACAGAGGCGACTTGTTCCTTAGCAGCCTTTTAACACGGACAGAACCCTTTTGGGTCAGAAATGAAATGTCCTGGTACCATCTGCAAAGATCAAGTAGGAAAATGAGTGGGGCAACCCAGACACAGCAAGACCAGACTGCAATGGGTAAGATGTGGGCAGAAAGTATGAGAGTGTCCTGTGCCCTCCCTGATTCTTGGGGGGCCTGTGAGTTGGTGGGTTAGGACACCTGACCTGGGCTTAAGACATTACTCTACAGTTCAATACCCTTGTACAAATCCTCTGGGTTGCTGAGAAATCTCATGATGGATGGATGGATGGATGGATGGATGGATGGATGGATGGATGGATG